AGACGGTTTAAAGCCACAAAAGGAAAAAAATTGTATAGGTCCTCTGGACGGGTTCTTCTTTAATGAAACGTTTCGTCTCTCCTCCAAGAGACTTCTTCAGTCTGAGAGTTTCAGGCTAAATTCAGGCTTTTAAGCACTGCCTCCATGTGACTGATACTCACATCATTGGATGAATATATTAAGTTCACACGAGAGGATGTAAAAAATGGCAGGTTGGCGTTCTTGGATTGCGATGTCTCGGTTTCGGATGGAGGACGGTTGGAAACTGGCGTGTATCGTAAGCCCACCCACACAGACCAATATTTGCGTTTTGACTCCCACCACCCACTGGAACACAAGTTAGGAGTGATCAGGACTCTGTACCACAGAGCAGACAGTGTCCCTACAAACCCAGGAGCCAGGCAGAAAGAGAAATCACACACACGACAGGCCCTGGAACAGTGTGGTTATCCTGACTGGGCTTTCCTGAAAGCAGACAGGAAACACAGACAGGATTCCATGCAACCTTCAGGTGAAAATGAAGACCCCAAACCCAGACCCAAACCAGTGGTTATTCCGTATGTTGCGGGTGTTTCGGAGAAACTGAGACGTTTATTTTCTAAACATGATGTCCCAGTGGCTTTCAAACCCCAAAACACATTACGGCAAAGGCTGGTTCACCCCAAAGATCCGGTGCCCCGGCACAAACAGAGCAATGTTGTATGCTGTTAAGTGCCAGGAGGACTGCGACCAGTTATACATCGGGGAAACAAAGCARCCACTGTTCAAAAGAATGTCCCAACACAGACGAGCTACATCTAATGGCCAGAACTCTGCAGTTTTCWCTCATTTACAGGCCAGCGGTCACTCTTTCAGAGATGAGGATGTTCTCGTTCTTGATAGAGAGGAACGTTGGTTTGAGAGAGGAGTAAAAGAAGCCATTTTTGTAAAGAAAGACCGTCCATCATTAAACAGAGGTGGGGGCCTCCGTTTTCAGCTGTCCCCCTCCTACAGCGCTGCCATTGGCAGTATCACTCCACCCCCTGTTAACAATAGGTGTTAATTAGGTGTCAACGATAGCCATGTGATGTGAGTATCAGTCACATGGAGGCAGTGCTTAAAAAGCCTGAATTTTGCCTGAAACTCTCAGACTGAAGAAGTCTCTTGGAGGAGAGACGAAACGTTTCATTAGAGAAGAACCCGTCCAGAAGACCTATACAACTTTTTTTTTCCTTTTGATTTTTTACCTGGATTACTGAGATGCATCAGGACATTTTAAAGCCACAGTTCTTGCCTCCTCCTCACCTGCAGATAAGATCAGCGACGATGAGACGACTTTGTTTTCCAGACTTTCACTTCGGACTGCTGATGCAGCGAGGTGGCCTCCGCATAATCAGTCACTGGGAGCGGGAGAGCCGCGCTCCAGGGCTGTGATTACCTCTCACCTGCTCCAAAGAGCAGTTACTGAAAAAAAAATCTCAATTTACTGTCCTGGCAGACAGAGAGAGCCGTGGATTCAGTGTTTCTTAGTAAAACGTGGGTAAACGAGGGTCTGGAGCAGCGTTTTGAGTGTGGCAGCTTCAGGGCTTTTTGTCCACGTTGCATCGCTCTGATCGATAAGAAAAACGTGGTCTTGTGTGATGGAGTGGATGAAGACTGGTGCACTGGTCTGGAAGGGGATGAGCTCTGCATCCTGATCAGTGGTGGTCTGCAGAGTTTGGAACTGTTCACAGATGGTGAGACTGTGTTTCTGTCAAATTAAAAGGTTTTGGCACCAGAGGGACGTATTAGTTGTCTTCATGGTCCCTCCCCCAGCAGCTATAACCAGTGTAGCTGCAGCTAACTGGTGCTTTTCATTAAGATAACACGTCTCTTAACTCACACTCCTTCAACTTTTTGTTCTCTCCAACAGCCACATCGAAAAGCAGCAAAAATAATAAAACTATAAGTATCACTTCCTAAACGAGTGCAGAGACACGTTAAATCTTGCAACAGACTCTGTCTCTAACGAGGTTTTTTTTTTTTTTGGTGTGTGTGCTGCAGAGCTGACTCCGTGTGTGTGTTTTTGCTCCGTGACCTTTGTGTTGTGCAGCTGCTGCAGCAGGTTTACTGCCTGCAGAGTCTTTTTACATCATAATTACTTAGTTATGGTCATAAATGTTGTAGTTGGAGGCAGAGCTGGAGCCGGCGTGCAGGCAGGCTGAACTGAAACAAAAGACTTTAATATTTAAATCTACATCTGACAGGAACACAACAACACAAAATACACTGGGTGAAGGAAACCAGTGAGGGCGAACAAGCTTATTATTTATTAATAATAAAACAAAAATGCAATTTTATTTCATTTGACTATAGAAGTATGTGTTAAAGTATAAACATTTAGTCCAGATTTTAAATAAAATCTTGTCATTTAAAGCATTTCGTTCATTTTTAAATATCAAAATCTACAATTTTAACATTGGAAGAGATCAGAAATCAATTTATTTTGATTTTTAACCTTCAGCTTTCGTGTGTCTCAGCTTTTTGTGCAGCAAATTTTCACATGTTGGGGTCTTTTTACCCTCTTAGAGCAAAACTTCTCTCTGCTCAGCGATGTTTGATGGCTCGGAGTCATCCGTCCGTCATTTCAACACATTTGAGTTTTTACAGCAGGGTTCAGGGTCTGGACCCGACGGTCCTTCAGCTAAAACTGAACCCCTCGATTTCAACTCTTTCAGTAAGTTCAGCTGTTATTTTTTAATTTTCGTTTCTTTGGAGTAACAAGCATCCAGCTATTTCAAAAGGATGACCAGAGGGGTCATGTTTTTTTTTAAATAAAAAATAGTGGCACTCTCTTTGCTCCAGAGCCCTGTGATGTGAGGAAGATGAGTGGATTTAAATCATTTCCTGTGATGAAGATCACTGAGTTGACCTGTTGAACATGAGTTTGGTCCTGTTTTATTGGCAAATATAATTGAAATTTAATGTCAAGTAAAATCAAAGAAAAGTGCATCAATAATGTCTGAAACTGAGATGTTTTATTATTTCATTGTGTATTTTACAGACATGATTTCTGTCAGCTTCTAATTTATTAACATGAAGCTAAAATGATGTTTTTCCCACGCCGTGCTGCCGCTCGCACCTCATTACACCGTGAGCCCAAAAAGCACCGAGTGCTTTCATGCTAGTCGATAAACGTTGCCCTCAAATCAATATTATGATTAACTCAGTGAGATCAGCGTTCCTCAAAACAAAAGGACATTAATTAAAGTGATTATAGGCCTCAGTGGTGCATTTTTTATGTCTTCGTTCGTTTCGAAGTGGCACTTCAGAGCTGAGCTCTATAAATATGAACAAAGATGGCCGCCACAGTTAATCAAAAATAAGCCAAAACAAAAACAACTAAAACTAAATCAGGTTTACAGATGTGGTAGCTGAGACTGAACTTCACTTAATAACCTGACAATAACTGCTACACTGTTAGCAAAATATCTCATGAAGCATTGGGCAGTTTTAGCTTTTCAATTATGTACATTTACATCAGGAGTCAACAAAAATGTGACCGGTCATATCGAAATGAGGATTAAGTCAAATTAGGTCAAAATGACCTCATCACATTTTTAGATTCTTGGCTTTAAAAGCTACATTTTGATACCTGGATCATCCTGATGTCATGAGTAAATCCATTTAAATGACTCAATTTGTCTTGTTGGTTACAATAATACATAAATATTTGGTCTTAATCCTAATTTTATGTCATTTTAATGAGAAATTTATGATGTCCTTATAAAGAGGAAACCTCAAATTATATTTGAATATTGAGATTTCCCAGCTAAAAAGAAACAAAACTTTGCTAGCTCACAGGGAAAATCTTAAAATTTTAAGCCATTTTCCTCAAAATCAGTTTTTTTTTTGTTGCTACTGCTCAAAAAAGTGCTTCAAAATTTAGTTTTATGATTATATTTCAGACAGTTCATTCAAATGATACATTAATAAGGTTTTTATTCATTATATTTTGACAAAAGGCAATTTTTGTTAACATTTTAGTCAAAACACTTTGCCTATTTCTCCATTTACCACTTTTGGACTTAAACCTCGTTTTGATGTGATGGCTCACAAATAGTTTGAGTTTCAGTCAATCACATAAATAAAATGTGGTAGATGTTTGTTTTATGTTTTAGGTGTTTTTTTAAAGAACAAACACATGAAGGCTGCAGATAATGTCCCTGACAGTTTTTAAAGGTCTGATTTTTCCTTTGATCTGAACTATTTGCCTCATTTTCTGGGTCGTCCCGTCGCACTGTTGAGAGTTAACGGTGTGGAAACAGCGTGCTGAGATGTGCCGGCCTTCAGTTTCACTCTGGTTTCTCAGATTATATCTGCTGCTCTGCATCACTCACACGTTCTGCAGACGTGTCTGTTATCGGGGCTTTGTATGTGCCAGGTATCTGAGTGACACGCGTTGTGGTTTTCTGCATTTTCAACATGGCACAATAGGAAACCACACACACTTCCTGTGTGAACCGAATGTGTGTGCGTGCGTTCCGTCAGTCACATGTCAAATGTTTGATTTAAATCCATGCTTGTGGCTCGTTTCTTGTAATTGTGCGAACACCGTCAGGAGCAAAGTGAGTGTTTGCACGTGAGCCGTCTGTTTGCTGAAGGACTGCTGACAAACATTTGTCATAAATAAAGATGGTTTCCGTCTTGACTCGTGGCAGGCGGGGACTGATGATTTATGTCGCAGGATTTCTTCTTCTCTCCGTGTGTCGCCTTAAAAACGCAGCTGGCACACATCTGTTATATTAAAGCCATCACAGCCCTGCGTGGAAACATCAGCTAAAAAAACACCTTTCCTCTCAGTTTGATTGAGTCTGCTCCTAACTTTGGCGCCTCACAGCTCAGTAATCACAGGGACGAACACTCGTCAGCGTTTCTACACGTGCTCGTTGTGTTTCAGGGCAAACAACGAGGATTAGGTTGAAGTTTGGAGCTGTTTAGCCTGATTGCAGCTCGAATGAGACGTGTTGTTTTCTCTGCAGGGTCTGCAGGTGAAGGCTGATTACGTTCCTCTGCTTCAGTCTCTGGCCACGTATGGATGGAGACTCACCTGTGTGCTGCCAACTCCTGTAATCAAGACCAACAGGTAATCACTCTTTTATTTGAATTGAACTGGAGCTCAGAGTAATGTTTGACCTCTACCGCCCCCTGTTGGCAGCCAGGAGGAGTGTGAGAACAGAAACTGCACGTCAGTCCTGCTTACACTCAAATATGTTTCTATGATTTAGATTTAAATTGCTTTGTTTACACTGACATATTTTTCTCATCACAAAAGCAGTCTCCTTCTACTTAACTTTACAAAAATTACTAAAAAGGAATGCTATTAGCTTGCAGAAATGCTTAAATCTCCAAACAATTTTAAACTCTTAACAGGATTCAAGATGACTGCAACATCCTACTGAACTAAAAAACACACAAAAAACTGTTTGACCAAAACATTTACAACTTTTCCTCAACTTAAGATGATTTTAGTCTGACAGATATTCATTTCTTTAAATGGATCCCCGATCAGTTGTAACATTAGACTTTATATAATAAACATTTATTTTAACTGTAAAATTAAGACTGTAAAAATACTGTAGGCGGTTTAGTTTTGTAAATTTTTAAAAATGTATTTTAACACGGACGGAGCCATTTTATTTACACACAAAGCATTCTGGGTAAATGATGACGTGGATAGGTCCTCGGTGCGAGGCTGCTAGCGAGCTATATCCACCCTGAAGGTTAATCTTGGACAATATCTGATGATCGACTCTTTTAAATGAAACCAGAGAGCGTTGACAGAGAGGAGAAGGTAGAAATGACTCAGCCTGGAACTGAAAATATGGATGGAGGACAACAGAGCTGCTTCATGGAAGAAGAACCTCAGCTTAGCCTGTTAGCCTTCACACTAGCGCCAACGTTATATTGCCTTACATGTATTAGCTCGGCGCTAGTGCGACAAACAAGCTAAACTGAGGTCCTCCATCCATATTTTCAGTTCCAGGCTGAGTCATTTCTACCTTCTCCTCTCTGTCAACGCTCTCTGGTTTCATTTAAAAGAGTCGATCATCAGATATTGTCCAAGATTAACCTTCAGGGGGATATAGCTCGTTAGCAGCCTCGCACCGAGGACCTATCCACATCATCATTTACCCAGAATGCTTTGTGTGTAAATAAAATGGCCCCGTCTGTGTAATATATTTTTAAACTTTTATTTTAAAAATTATAAAAACTAAACAACCTACAGCATTTTTACAGTTTTTATCTTACAGTTAAAGTATATGTTTACTAAATAAAGTCTAATGTTACAACTAATCGGGGATCCCTTTAAGGAATGCTACAGTTAGATTCTCAGTAGCCAAAAAAGTCTAAAATTTGCGTTTATTTGTGTGTAAGTACAAAAATGTCCCACTTCTTGCAATCTGGAAAAAAAACATTTATTATGCAGCAGGAGTAAAGTATTTATCAGTTACTTTATGATAATGAAAAAGCTCTTTTGTGATGTCGCTCATCAAGCGTGAAACTCATTTGGAGACAGGATGGACACCATTAATCTGCTGGTTTCCTCAGAATAAAGTCAAATAAATGTTCTCAGCTACAAACATTAGCAGCTGAAACAAAGCTGAAAACAAGACAGCAGCTCGTGTCGAACTTACATCAAAAACTGCAGCCTGCAGACCTTCAGACAGAAATGTGTGACAGCTTCTCAGAGAGCTGAAGCTCAATCTCCAACAGTCTGCATCCATCTGCAGCCGTCTGCAGCAACAAGCTGCAGCCGTCTGCAGCAACAAGCTGCAGCTCTGTTCATAGAAACGCAGCCTCAGCTGACTCATCACTTCCAGCTGCTGAGTGAGAGAACATCTGCCTGTGGTTAAAGGTCCTGCATGTTTCAGACACACTGAAGAGCTTCACTTCAAATCTTAACGACTTCTCATCCAAACCCTGCAGAGTTAGATCAATATTCAGAGGAATAACAAGAAACATGAAAGTAAATATATGGTATGAAATCAAACACTTATTGTTTATGATTGTGCAATCAATTAATTAAAAAGAAAAGCCTGGGTTATATAAAGGTTATTCTGCAAGAAATAGCTTTGAAACATGAAAAACTGCATCGAACATTTGAATATAAAACTACATTAAAAACTGTTCAATTAGACAAAAAAAGTGTCACTAAAGTTTCAAAATAAGAGCATATTTTTGTTGAAATTGTCTGGATGTCAGACACTGAAGGGACGATATATGATGTAAGCATTTTTTAATAAAGTATCAAAAAACTGCAGCTCAGTTTGATCAAACTTCTACGTCAAATTAAACTGAAATAATGTTTTACCTTCAGGGGAAACAAACAGACTTCAACTCTGTTTCCTGTAAATTTGTCACCTTTAAAACCAGGAAAGGTTTGTTTTGCATCAGGTGTGTCTCGTTCAGAAGACGATTCATCCTTTAGTTTGGAGAAAAGAGAAACGACTCGGAGCAGTGTTTCCATCAGAACAGTGACAGATTATTTGCTCTGCCCCCGCCTTAGCTGCTCATGTTTACTGCTCTTTCACAGCTTGACTGATTAATTACCTCTTTATTTTCATCCTTTGTTTTTTACCCCCCCTCCATCTTTTTTTCAAAATGCCACAACACAACAGCCCAACACGGCTAATTAATCAGCCTCGTCCCAGTTAGAGTCGGAGCTCTCCCTCTGCCCCTCCAACAACACAGTAATGCTTGATGATCTACTTACAGACATTTACGCTTGTTTTTACGGCCACTTCTTCATTTTTACCAGGAAGATTTCAGATTAGCTGTTTGTAGTCTGAGGCTGCTCTTCATCTGGAGGGGTCGGCTGAGTGTCGGCAGCGTCTCTGAAATGAATGCAAACAAGTGCTCCGAGGCGTCTCCACACAACATTAATTCTTGTTGTTGTCTGAGAGCGGGCGTTCGCCGTCTTCAATTAATGTAGATGGTAATTACATTTTAGAGCCATTCACTAAAGGTAATGTGGGTTTCTCTACAATGACTGATGAACAGTAAACAACAACAACAAGGAGGTTCACACAAAGTTCCTGTTTAGTTTGCTGCTGCTGTCTAAATGTGTCAGACCTCATTTCGTTTTGAAATGGGTCGTCTTCGCTGGATTTATGTTCCCTGGTGTTTCAGCTGACGGACCGGTTTACCTCTGAAATCATGTTGTTGTTTGTGGTTCAGCTCTGTCGGGTTGAAAACAGCGTCTAGATGGGAGCAGAGGAAGCTTTTCCAGATGTGTAGGCCGTCCGTGTTAGAGGCACTTATGCACCCATATACCATCAGGGAGGCAGGCTTTTGTATTGCTCACTGATAACAGGCCGAATGGTTCCTCTTCTCTTTAAGGACGCGGTTTCTGTTTTTCCCAAACATATCTCAAATTTGGAACAGTCTGACCAGAACGGTTCTTCTCTTTACCTCAGAGTCCAGGAGGATTACGTCAAACCTGGAACAAATTTATAACAAACTAAAACGTTCAGGAAATGTCCAGAAAACTGTCAGGAAAATCAGAACAAAAAAAAAAAAGAATCACCTGAATCACTTGAGATTTCTCATATTTCAGGTTTGAAATGTCATAAAAATGCTAATTATGAGTCTGAATGTGTGTTTTTTATAGCATGGAATTCAATTCTAATAATATTTTAAAGATTTAATGAAATCTTTTTTAAAGTTAAACATAGGTGTAAACTGCAAAAGAAAGAGGATTAGCACCACTGGAAAAAAAAAATCTGAATTCTGAGATTAAAGTCAGAATTATTTTTTTTTAGTGGTCCTATTCCTGTTTCATAGTAAACCTGTTACTCTCAGACTGATTAATTTTCATACCAGTGGTAATAAAATTAGATCATTTGAACATCTGTAGTTGTAGAAATAACGTTTTTCAGTTCTGTCGTACTGGAAACAAATTGTTCTGGACAAATGGATAAAGTGAAGATTTACATTAAAATATGAATAATACATATTATTGTATGCATGTGTGTATGTGTATATA